TGAGATCTCAACACATGGAAACATAGAAACACATGACATGATTTTATACAACATACAAACGATTGTCTGACATATAACACAATTATACAAAACTAGGCATACCTCAGACACATTACTTAATAAATTGAAGATCTTTTTTTAAGATCTGAAAGCAGGCATAGCTGGAGTCATGAAGAAAGTAGCAGTTTGGCTTTAGAAGAGAGTGCTATGTAGCATTATTTTATTGAAAGAACATGGAATCTGAGTTAAACAAAAGATAAGATAATTAATATAACTTGTAAACAGAATGGGAGTTAAATCTTGGAGAACAGCAGTTTCTCAAGAGACAGAAAACCTGGAAATAAATTTGTAGTTAGTGAAAAACTTAAAACAGTTTCTTTTAAAAATCAATCAACAATTGAATGAAATAAAACTAAGAGAGAGGAATTGAATTGAAAAGGTCAGGAAAAAAATCCCGTAAAGTTTAGGTGTTAGGAATTGAACCTGGGTCCTTTGTAAGAGCAGACAGTGTTCTAAACCAGTAAGCCATTCCTTAGGCTGGGATGGGGGAAATCTGTTGAAGGACCTCATAGGTGACAAAAGAGCCACAGTGGGGGTGAGTTAGATAAACAAAGTCTTTGTTTTTGCAGAAGAGGCTTTTGCACTTTTGAGGTCAGGGCACAATGCTGCCATTGCTTCTGTGGCCACTGCTGCTGTCCTGCTGTCCACCAGTCACTGCTCCCAGCAAGCAGCAGCTTAGAAAGTCTGAAGTGGCAGGGGAAAGAAATCTGAGAAGGCTGATTGGGGACAGAGTGGCCTGTCTCTACTGCCTACAGCTTGTCAGTGTGACTGTGTGTGTCAGTGAAAGCCAGGCAGGATTTGACAGAGTGAGGGCTGGGGGGGGGGGGCGCACAAGGAGGAAAGGAGAGAGACTCTGGGGGAGGAGATGGATGTGAGAGGTGGAAGGGAACCTTGGGGGAGTGGAGGCATGGGGAAGCCAAAGAAGGGGAGGGAGACAGAAGAGGGAGATTAGGAGTTGGGGTTTAGGGTTGATCAGACCCCTGTGGAGGATTATAGGGTGGCTGTCAGCAGGGTCAAATTTCGAGGTTAGAGGGTAGCTAAGTCTTTTGGGTTTGGGTTTTAGGCTTTAATGATATAAAAGATTCTGATAGGTAGTATATGAACTACAGAGAGAGGGACGACCCCTAAAGCTGGGAAACATTGAAGATAGTATATATCTCACGGCATTTTTCATTTTTGTTTTATGGAAATTTTAAAATCTGCTAAAACATTATGATTAAAGGTGCCGATTTGGGGCCGGCAACATCCGGGGTGTAATTAGGCCAGATTTGGACCAGCGGTCGAGTAAGTTCGGCTGATCCAAGTCTTACTAATTGGAGTTTTTTAGGTTTGTTTTAAGGCAAGCCAAAGGTGTATCTTTTGGAACAGATAATTTGGAGCCCATGGTGGGCAGGCTTCTTCCAGTGTCGTTGGTTCCCTTGGTAAGCTCCCAGAGCTTTACTAGATCCCCTGTGGTATACGTCCAGGAAACTGAAAAATTTGGAACCCCTAATGGGTGGGGGAGACTAGGCGGGAGGTTAGATCCAGCCCCTCAGAGGTATCCCTCTGGGTTCCGATCCACGCGACTAGGGGACTGGACGAACCTGGTGTCTAGGAGTGGGTGACCCCTATCCTAGTAAACAACAGTGGGGGAGTCAAAAGCCGAGAGCCCAGTGGAAAACTCCCGGAGCTTTCAGGCTACATCAGTCTTAAGACCCCGGATGGAAGGGGGCTCCTGGAGACCCCCAAATGGCAGGAGCTCCCGGAGCCCCCGGGACCTGATAGGTGGAGCCTCAGTCAGGCCTGGATTACCTTGTCTCCGGAGGTGGTGTGTGTGAGGGCAAAACAAATGGAAAGTGGCTTCCCTACCCGGAGGTCTAGCTAGAGATAGAAAAAGGACAGAGCAAAGAGCATCTGGAGGTATAGAGGAGAATTAGGAGGAAGGGAGCCAAAGAGAGTGAAAGGCTACCCCAACACTCAATGCTCACCAAGGCCAGAGCTGCCCAGAAGCCTTTGGAGAGGTCCCAGAGAGGGCTGGGGCCTCTGGGATGGGCCCCCGAAACCCTTCCCCAAACGGGCCACCATATGTTAGATTTTTTTGAAAATAAAAGGAAAGATAGAGTAAGAGACAAGAAACCAGAACCAGACCTGCAACAGGCAAGGAATATATCTTCCTTTATTCAAAGAACATACATTGAGAAGTACAGGCTGTCCCTGGGAACCAAGCTTCTATAACTAGACAAAGAAACCAGGGGTTTTTATCTGAAAGTTGTGAGACACAGCTGCACTTTGTGGGGCGTTGAATTAGTGCTCTGGTTTGGTGTCCTTGAGGGTCTCTTTTCTCAGACAGGTGGGTGAGTTGTCTATAGCACTAAAGGTGGGCTCCACAAACAGTCTCTCTCAGTCCTGGGAGTGACCAGTTGATAAGGCTTGAGTAAGGCCAGGCTGCCAATTTAGGGCCAGTTAGACACTTTAAGGAATTTATGGCTTTCCCTAATGAGGCTTGTGGCTCTTCTGCACTTTACACATTTCTGTCACCATATATAAAAAACACTTCCAATTGAATGCTCTGGGACAGTGGGCAATGTCCAGTCTCCTGTTCTCTGCACATGCATTGGATAGATAGCTAGAGGAAGCCTGAGTATGTAGCTCAGTGGTTGGTGAGCAGCGCAAAACACTGGGTTTCCATTTTCACTGGTGAAAAAAACTGGAAGCTAAACCTAGAGGAGGGAATTAAACCTTTCACCTCTTACATAGCATCTTGTGTTTAAGTTGTATTTTAAATTTAACTTTCACAAGAAGACTTGCTAAAGCTTTTGAGATGTTGTTTCTTTTGAATTTCATAGATTAAGATGCCACACTGTTGAGAGCAGCAAACCAAACACCCTTGTGCTGAAGGACAATGCTTCTAATGTGTCAGATAAAACCAGTGAAGATCTATATCTGCAAGTAAGTATGCTTTCTTCCTAATTAAGTCGCGTCACCAGTGCTAAGCAGTACTAGAAATCTATCTTTCTTCCACTAATATAAGGGAAAACTTTTGGCATAGACACAACAAAAATTTGCTCCTTTTTTCCCTTCCCCCCTCTCTTTCCCTACTTCCATCCCTCACTCCCTGTTTCCCTCCCTCCCCACCCCCTCTTTTATTGTTTGGGGATTTTTTTGTTGTTATTGCCTTGTTTTTGGAGACAGGGATTCACCCTGTAACCCAGGCTAGCCTAGAACTCATCACATTCCTCCTACCTCAGCCTCCCAAGTGCTAGTGACAGGCATGAGACCCCAAACCTGGCTAGAAGTGCTCTCTTCATTATGAAGAAAATCCAAATCAGAAATGATAGATAGCTTGTAGAGATCTACTAATATTTTGAAAACTCTGGCCATTTTAATTTGAAATAGGGACCAAATAGGAAAGCATGAAGTGCTTTGGTGATTACAAAAGAATTATGTCTTGTAGAGAGAGTACCAAATAGTATATTTCAATTGGAAAGAAACCAAGGGGCTGGGTGCATATAGCTCAGTGACGGGGTGGTTACCTAGCATGACAAGGCCCAGGGCTTGATGCCCAGCACCACTAAAACAAAAGAGAAACCAAAGGGAATAAAAAGTAGCTGAAGGGTTTCTGGGCCTCCAAGAAGTGATCCACTCTACTCTGTGTCAATTAGAAAATTAGACTGTTCAGAATGTGTCAAGGACACAGGTGTCTACCAAACCCATTGGAAGCCTCCTTGCATTTCAGCTCCCAAACTATCAGAGTAGATGGGCCCCATCCCTTCAGTGTTTGAAGCTCTGATATTCCAGTTTGTCACTCCCATCATTAAAGATTGTCTTATTGATATAAATCTTTCATTCCTTCTTTCCCCTTCAGCTCAATCGTTTACTAGAAAGCAATAGGAAACTCGAAGACCAACTCCAGCGCTCTATCTGGTTCCAGCAGCTGTTGCTTGCCTTAACAATGGTCTTGCTTGCCTTTGTTGTCTCTTTCTTTTATTCGCTGTACAGTTAAAGAGGTGGTGCCTGCTCAGAGACATAGCTCCTTCATACATTATTTGGAGAAAATAACAGATCCAAAACTTCTCAGCTCAGCTACTAATAATATTGCACATCCGTGTTTCCTAAAAGGAAACACGAAGCACATGGAAGGGTGCCTGTCTTGAAAATAAATTGTTCAATTAAAGACATACTTTGAGACATTAATTATTAGAGGCTCTAGCTAGTTAGGAAAGTAAGTAAAGGTATATGTATTGTGTAAATTAATATTTTAAATATAATTTATTCTTTTTGATTTGAATAGCTTTAAAGCAGTTTTATCATGTAAATACACTAGCTGAACTGAAAAGCATATAAGTAACATGTTTTGTTGCAGCCAAAAAATGTAATCTGCTTTTTCTTAAAAACAGAATTACTAGCTGAGCTGACTTACTAGCTTTTCTATACTATATTTAAAAATGTATATTGAAAAAGCAAACGTACTTAAACAATAATTTATGTACTCATGACTTTCTAACTTTTAAGAACTACTTCCAGATGATAGCCAATATTATTTTGGAATGTGAACCTATCTAAATGCCAGACCTCTCTAGCCTTGGTTTCTCAGTGTTCCTGAACAGCCTACCTTTTATTAATCCCAGGCTGTTTTTTCATCAATAACTTTATTATTTAGAATGTATGAAAACAATGAACTTTTAGCAGCATTACACATGTGAGAAGGTATTGCTGTCACCATTTTAGATCATGTAATAAATTTCTTGTTCCTTCATCTTTTAATTCTAATGTCAAAGTGAGGAGTAAACTGAAATCAAGTTGGACAGTGACATCATTGTTAGGGTACAGACATGAAGAAAGTCATTCTGAACAAGGATCTTGGGGTGCCAGAAAAGTGAGAGGGGAAGATTTTGGTGAATCCTTTGGCCCGGGACCCTGTAAATTCCATTCTCCACACTGAGGTGTGCTCTGTGTCTGTTTAGAATGGGGCCCAGTCACTTCCGGAGACTTTAGAGAATCTCACAAGCTGCTGCTGTATAAGCCTCTCTTTAAAAGGTTTTCTTTCCAATTTTTAACCTCCTTAGAAAGATGATGTTTGTCACTTAGCTCATTGTTTAGTTTTCTTGGGTCTTCATTTTGTTGCTTTAACTTAGAAATTTCCTCCTTCAGCCTTATATATTATTGACTTTTCAAAGTAAGAGCTCTTGTGCTTTGTTACAATACCACCGCCCCCTGCACAGATTAAGGCTGAGAATCATGTTGTGATATCATTGAGGTATCCTGAGCCCGTTGATCCCTTCTAAGATTTTCCTAGTAGCCTTACCACTTCTTTTTGGTGTTTAGTAGTGGCCTTTGTAGCAAGAATTTCCTTTTCAAATTCCTTGGCATGTTGTTGCTTCTCTAGTTCTGTTTGCACAAGCTTGGCTTTGGGATCCTCAGTTTCTTCTTTATAGGGCATAGCTCCTAAAGCAGCTGGACTGTTTCTTTTTTCAAGGCACTTACTTGATTCATTCCCTATGGTCTGAGGTCTTGCTGTTATGTCCTTAACCATTTCTATTTCTTTCTGCATCTTTCCAATCTTGCCTTCCTTTTCCTTTGATTCTGGCAGGAAGGTTTCTAGTTCTTGAATTTTCTGTGGTTAGTTGTACATCCCCTGATGCCACATGAGGATTCTTAACTGTCCTGTTGTTCTCTGGATGGTACCTCTATCTTGTTGAAGGCACTGTGTTTTAATTTGTGATTCATTTTGCTTTTCCTCTTAAGTTTCTTCATGACTTCATAGAATTCCATGGAACATCTCTAGTTTGCAGTAAGAAGTTTCTGAATCTGTGGGTATGGAAAGGTGAAGTTTGCTTTTACAGTACTTGAAAGTTAGTGTATGTGCTGCCAAGCAAGCATGAATCCTGGGCTGTTTAATGAACATTCTCATTTCAATAAAATACAGAAAGTTAAGCATGGTTGGATTTCTTTGAATTCTGTTAGTAATCCCCAGAAGGAGTCTCCACAACATTCCCTCTTTCTAGTCAATTCTATGCAGCTTCATGCTGTCCACTGTCTGGACACTGAACCTTTTGCCTGGTTTGTTACAAAGACCTCCTCTATTATTCTACCTTCTCCTTCATTCCACAGGGAAGGAGTCTCTCTATGGACCAGAAATTGTGCCGTCTTCACCCTCAGTTTTAAATGAAAGTCATTAGGTAACTTTTTTAAAAAGCCTATTTGTTTTAGATGCTCAGTATAATTAGGCTTTGAAAATGTTCCTGGTTAAAATCATCTGCATGAAGGAAACTTAGAAAATACTGGAGTATCTGTGTGTGGAAATAAAAACACAAAACATAGCTCAGGTGTCAACTCTGTGTTTAGAGAACGGAAAATCTCACTCCTAATGAACTGTAATCCTTCCTCACACCAGGGCTCTTTGGTCCACTTGATATTCTGCCTTTGGTACACTAATAACCTCTTGGTGTGGTTCCCAAATCCGTACAAATACACATCTTGCAGAAACAGCAGCTAATGAAATTAGTTTATGTTATCATTAACATGATCAGTTTTTGGTCCCTTTTGGTTCACATGTGTGTCTACTTTATATGAAAGAAAAATCTGCCTGGGCTGGGCATGGTGGCGCACGCCTATAATTCTAGCATTTGAGAGGCAGAGACAAGTGGATCTTGGTGAGTTTCAGGCTAGCCAGGGCTACATATGGAGATCCTGTCTCAAAAAAAGAAAAATCAAACGTCTGCCTACAAATTGAGTTTCAATTGAGCCATGGTTGGGGTAATTCTCGGGAGCAGTGTTGTAGGCTGTCATCTTGAGGAAGCTGACGCCAGAGCTGAGTTATGAAGAGTGACAACTGGCTTAGGAAAAAACCTTCAAAGGACACTAGTGTAATACGTTGTCTTAATTTGGATTTTTCTATTTCAGTTTGCCACCTCCAGTTGTGAGACAGACTGCAGTCCACCCTAAGTACTGTGCACAGTATCTCCTTGTGTGTTCACAGTGATTTCCCAAATGGTAGATTTAGGGCCTTAATATATCATCCCAAACTAATGGTCTGTTTTTCATTCCTCAGCAGATAAATGAGTAATTAATTAGCCAAGATGAGGAATGTACTGTACTAACAGTGTCCCTTCAGTGTTTCATAAGAAAATTATGTCGACTCACTAAAATACCCTTGCTTGATTATGTGGTCAGTTGAATTCAATAACATATCTTGTTAACATTTGTGTTTGAGAAATGTGACTAAACAGAATTGCTGAAAATTAACCATAATATCAAAAGCATCTTAAGTTTCTCCTTGTCTTGATTAATCATACATATTTACATTTGATTTTTGTTCTGTCCTCATTTTATTTTCTTTAATCACATTTGCATGATTATTATTGGTATTCTGATCAGTCGTTTTCTTTTAATCGTATTGTTGCCTATTCACGATAAAATTACCAAGGATTTTCATTTAGTTTTTTGTTTTCACTTGGGAATGGAAATTAATACATTTTCCATGAAAACATTAAAGAAAGATCATTAGCTTGATCTGCAAGTAGCCTAAAATGCAATTGCTGGAAAACCTAGTCTCAAATTTCATAATACCATAACTCTTTTTATATCTTGCCACTAATTTCAACTGGATTTAATAGCACTTTATTGTATAATTATAAGAAATATATTCCTAGAATTGTTGCCAGTGTAATTTCTCTAATGTTCTGGTGCTTTTCATATATTTTAAGTATTTTTATTACTATATTGGTATTTTATTTGTATAAATTGATCAAAAGAACATGTTTTCTATTTTAATATGTTTTAGAAAATAATTACATTTATGAAATAAACATCATCAGGAAAACCTTGTCTTTAATTGATAAAGCATGCTTGAAAAAAATCAGTATTCAGACCAACTCTGCCCTTTTAAAGATCACAGGAATTCCGTTTGGATCTGCTTTGCACTGCCGACTTCCAACAATGAACACATATCAGCTGAGCCTCTCATTCAGTGTCCCATTTCTTCTCATCCCATGTCCGATTCAACTGCTCTTCAGTGTAGGTCTTAGCATTCAACTCACTGTCTTGGCTTGGGACTCGTTAGTGAACCCTTTCCTGGAGCCATATGAGCCTAAATTATCCCATGTGCCCCCTTCCCCAGTCCTTGTATCCATAGACCTTCGTCCCCGATGGGAGCAAGCATCCTGGACATCCAGGCACTTGGAAGATAGTGATGCAGCACTGACTGTTTCCAAAGTCAGATGCTAGCATTGGTCCCCTAACTATTGGAAGACACAGCTGTCCTAAAAACAGCTACCCCTCCATAAAAATCAAGTAAATACAGGTTCTCCTACACTGAAAGAGATATAAGATTGAGAAGAATCCAGTGCATGTGATAAAGGAAAAATAGATCTGAGAAAACAGAACATTAGCCTGCAATAGATATATCGATGCCAAACTGGAACTGAGCATGGTCTTTCCTACAGGGGAGTTTTCTAGGAAACTAACTTCTCTGATGCAAATTCAGTTAAGAAAGGATTGATGACAGAAATCTGTTCTTTTTCTCTGGAATTTTTACCACCCACTGAATTTTCCCTGACATCACAAACAGCATGGGTCATCGCCCCACAAACTTACAGGACTTTTCTTCCCTCCCTGAACCAAAGGGCCTGACTGGAATTCTTCCCACTTATTCCAGTCAAGACAAGGGTTAAACTGGTTGTGTTCTAATCACCTCCCTACCACTAAGTGCCTGGTGAAAGGGCATGTGTGTGTGTGTGTGTGTGTGTGTGTGTGTGTGTTTTCACTGTTTGATAGTCAGTACTACACAGAATGGATGGAGACTGGGAGAACTAGTGCATCTAACCTATCCACTAGGCTAGCCCCCCTCTGCCTTCCATCCTAGCTTCCTAGAACTTCTCATACTTGACCTTCCTGAACATTGTGCCTCACTGAGCTAAATGTCAGTTTTCCAAACTTCCTGCTTGGTATTCCTACCTACCCCCTGCCTAGCATCTCAATAAAATCACATCTTTACACCTGCCTATTGATGATGTCCTTACATTGGATAAATGGTACTGGCTTTTGATATCCAGCATCTCATATCTTCCCTACCCAACTCGTATGTCATAAAGTTTTGCAGGTGTGAAAATATTTAAAGATAACTGGGACTGGCAGACCTTGTCTCAAAAAAGACCAAAATAAACAACAACAAAAAAAGATAACTGGGAACTGAAGAGTCAGCTGAGCTAGAAAAAAATGTTTGGCTTTAAAACAGGAGGATTTTGATATCCAGCATCTCATATCTTCCCTACCCAACTCGTATGTCATAAAGTTTTGCAGGTGTGAAAATATTTAAAGATAACTGGGACTGGCAGACCTTGTCTCAAAAAAGACCAAAATAAACAACAACAAAAAAAGATAACTGGGAACTGAAGAGTCAGCTGAGCTAGAAAAAAATGTTTGGCTTTAAAACAGGAGGATCTGAGTTTGAGCCTCAGAACCCGCATTTAAAAAAAAAAAAAAAGTAGGCACAGCTCCATGCATTTGTAATTTCAACACTAGGGAGGCAAAAAAACAAGACTGAAAACCAGCAGGGCAAACACCAAATCCAGTAGCTCCATGCATTTGTAATTTCAACACTAGGGAGGCAAAGACAGAATCTCAGGGCTCCATGGACAGCCCATCTAGCCTATTCAGTAGTTGCAGGTTTAGTAAGAGATCCTGGCTCCAAGGATCTGCCTCAGGAATGACATCTGAGATTGTCCTCTGACCCTGATACACATACTCACAGAGGTACATATACATACACAACAAATTTTGAAGCTAATTGATTAAACTGGCCAGAATACAGCAGAATATTTCCATTGTCTGTATATTCTAGAGGGGGAATTTGGTCTTTGAAACACTTTTTTTCATGATCTCTTGCCCTCAGGAGCCTCAGTATATCATACAATCTTGTTTTTATAAGGAAGGAGAACAAGGATCCTAGAAGTAATTCCTTTTCTTTCTGAGATTGCATGACTATTCAATTTCAGAGCCAGGAGTCAGTTGAGTTAGCTTCCCACTTTTCTGCTTGTCTGTCAAAACCATCCAGAGCTGCTTCATCTGATAAATTGATTAAAATATTGAATGGGCAGCTCCAACAAAGCTTTACCTTCACCAAGCAGTATGAGAAGGAAAGAGAATAAAGGCAAAAGGCTCAAAAAAGGTAGGTGACAGAATAGCTTTTTTAAGACCTTTGACTGAAAAAGTTAAGTTTCTTGAGGCTGGAGAGATGGCCCGGTAGGTTAGAGTGCTTGCTGAGCCAGTGTGAGGTCCTGAGTTTGGATCCTAGCAACCACAAAGAAATCCAGGCATCATCAATGCCTGTGACCCCACAACTGTGGAGGGTGAAGACAGGAGGATTTTGCTGTAGCTTGCTGGCAGGCAGCCTAGTTGCACTTCAGTGAGAGACCTTGTTTCAGAGGGATAAGGCATAGAATAGTAGAGCCGGGTACCACATATCCTTTGGCCACCAATATGTATGACATACATAGACACCACACTGGCATGAATGCATGTGTACACATGAAAAACTTGTAAGTTTCTTAGTTTTTTAGGCTATAGACTGTTACAGTGGTCTTTCAGTTGGTTTTAATCTTCTTGAAGAACAAACTTAATCAACAGTCCTGGGCAGTTGAACCAGAAATTTAGCAAAGCTAAGCAAAGAGATTGGACTGAGCTTCCCCAAGGCAGGGGACATTCAGGTGGGTTCTGCATTGTGGATTTTAAAGTTTATATGGTGGACGGCATACTCAAGGGGTAAGGGGACCCTTTTTCCTTCCTATATCATGGTGAACTGAATTCTGTGTTTAGGATTTTCCCATGATAGTCTGGAAAAGGCCATGATGGGGAGGGGGTATCAAAACAACAATGCAAGTGATAATGATGACAGATCTGAGGATGCAGTTCCTTTGTTTGTGAAAAGGTATGGGGAAACCTCTGTCCTCATACCTTTGAAACCCTGGTCCCTTAGTTTTTGATACAGCAGGAAAGACCTCACTGCTGCTTCCAAGATGTTTAACCACAAGAACATTCTGGTCTTCAAGAGATAGCAACTAAGATGCAGCTGCGGTATTCTCAGTTACCTCATAGCTAACTTCTTTTTTATCTGTATCAGGAAAAGGGGTTTGAACACAGAGGTTGATGTGTTATTTACTTTGATGGAGTAGTGCTAGAGTCAACCCTCAAAGAGAGTTACTCATTAACTCACTAATTAATTGTCTCAGAAATTGTCATCCAGTGGCCTGAACAAGTCACTTATTTAATAAAATCAGGACACATTATTTTTTGTTCATGTATAACAAATATCCATAAGCAAATTTCCAACAATGTAAAGTTACTGGCTCCAGTTTCTGTAGTTTAGTCCAGATTTCCTAGACAGGAACCCACAAATCTGAAATCAAGGCATTCCACTGACTAGATCCTCCCTGGAGACACAAATGGATAAAGATTCATTTTTCAGTACATTCAGCTTGTTGGTGGAGGGCTGTGGAGAAGGCCCAGTGGGTAAAGTGCTTGTGGCTCAAGCATAAAGACCTGAGTTTGGATCCCCAGCACTCAAGTAAAAAACCAGGCATAGTAGCCTATAATCCAAATCCTGGTGGTGAGGAAGCTAAATGGGCTGATCATTGGCACTCACTGGCCAGCCAGCCTAAATGAATCCGTGACGTCCAGATTCAATAAGAGACCCTGTCTCAAAAAAGTATGGTGAACAGATGGTTGAGGAAGACATTCAGTGACAACTTCTACCTTTCACACACACACACAACGTACCCACACAATAAAGCGGACAATGATAGAGGATGATACCCACACTACCTGCTACCTCTTTGTGTGTACTGCATACATGGGCATGTGCACCAGCCCCACATACTTGTCCCCCCATATACCTACATAGACTTATGCATACAACACACACACACACACACACACACACACACACACACACACACACACACACAAATAGTTGGAGGAATTTCTTTCCTGGCGACTAAGAACTAAGGTTGTTGATTTCTTGCTGGCACAGAGGCTTCCTGTCAGCTCCTAGAAGCTACTCCCCAGTCTTTGTTCTACAGCCTTCACCATAAGCCAATGACAGCAGAGCTGCCCCCCTTCAAATCTCTTCTTTCAGAAAGGGCCCACTTTCCTTTAAGGGTCTGCCTCATTAGATCAGGTCCACCCAGGACAATCTTCTTTGGGAGTAACTAAAAAATAGTTTGCAAACTCTCTGCCATACAGAATGATTTAATCATGGGAGTGATGTCCTATCACATTCACAAGCCCTGTCCCCACAGGTAAGGACCTGAAAATTTATCCAATTTGTTCCCCCCTTAAAACAGGGTCAGAGTTCACCTTGCCTACTCTGATGGATGGCTTTGAAGCCCCAGATACTCCTTACTTGAAAGGAAATCAACCAGAACTGTTGATTTTGTGTAGTATTTAAATTTTATTTTTAAAAATGGTTTTTGATTTTTTGAGATAGGGTCTCCCTGTAACCCCAGCTGGCCTGGAACTCGCTATGTAGACCAGGCTGGCCTCTACATCACAGGGATATATGCTTGCCTCTGCTCCTCAGGTGTTGGGATTAAAGGCATGTGCCACCACACCCAGGTTATAAATACATTCTTAAGGAAAAGGGTGTGGCCCTTGTTTTGAACATTTATTCCATGAAAAAGGCATTCAAGAAAGAGTCTGGCAATGAGTTAATTTGCTAGGACAAAGGGTACTTCCAGTAATTGTGGAGTTTCACAAATGAAGCTCTAGTGAAAACAATTCAGTTTAAAACAGTGGCAGGACACACATACACACAC